GCAGTTTTAATGTTTGCTGCAGAGTAATTTTCCTCCGTGTGCATCAAAAACTGCAGTATTAATGCACAGCAGTTATCCATTGTAATTCTCACTGACCGAGGTATAATGAGCAATAAATCAATTTTGTAATTATCGCAACAGACATAACTAAACACATAACTAAACACATTTTCAAAGTATTTTTTCCAAACACTGTTAACAGAAGGGAGGAATCTCTTATTAAACACTTGGGATGTGTACGGCGGTCATTTGTGTAGGTGGGACGTCATCCATCTTTTTATGGCGTAATGACCTGATGTGGAACGGGCCTCGTGAATCGCCTGGAGAGCAGCTGGCGTGCATTCTAATAAAGCCGCCCAATCATCTCTCACAGACAGATCTTGTTGTGTCTGCGGGAAAGCCATTTAACATTTGATCTATTTGCATGGACAAACAAGGATGAAGGATGCTCCAAAACATTGCATTTACTCGCACAATGGTGGGCAATAAAAATAAATGGGATTGCGTGTGTGTTAGCATCTGCTGTCTGATTGCTATACAAAATTGCAAGAATAGGTATTGTAAAGATTATAAAAATGACGGCACCGTCTTCGTTCTATTGACAAATCACCCACCACCTCTCTCAGACATTGTTCTCCTTATGGGCCATATCTGTTTTGGTGTCTTTTTCTGCCAAATAACCCAAAGTGGTCTGTGTTTTTGTATTGGGTACTTATTTAAATCGATTGCAGGATGTTTAGAAACCTGTTGTAACTAATGGTTTACCTGTACCTTCTGTGTGTGTGTTTCAGAGTGATGAGAAATTAGGACCTTTGCCATAGCGATTACAAATTTAAAGCAAACATATTATACAAAATGAACTCTTCAGTGCTTTTAACCATGTTATAATTGTTTTCCCCTTCTCATTTACCCTCTTGAAGTTGTATCCGGAGTGATTTGTACATGTCTGAGCAATCTTTAATCATTTTTTCACCACCACTGGCATACACTCACTGCTCTGTACTTACTCCGTTCAATACATGTAGGATTTAGCAGTGTCGCATAGTCTTTTTGGTACAAAAAAAATAAATAAATAAAAATCTGATGTGTGTGTTGTGATGTGCAGCTATCCCTAGGAGATGCCAAGACTTTGTTGTGATGACGTTTACAGCGATGTCTGCTCCCCTTGGGCACCACAGTTTTCTAATATGGAAATCAGCTGATCTTTTTCTTTTATTAAATTATTTCAGACTGATATTATGATTTAAAATGTGCACATTAAAACATACTGATCCACAGTGTCATAGATTTCAACTGGATAGCACACAGAAGCACAATATGTGTTCTTCAAAACAAAGCATTACATCTTTTGAATGTGGAAAAAGTGCTCAAATCTGTGTTCAAATCCATGAATAGTTGAAATTTCTCTACAAAATGTCACATTTGCTCTGACATTGAAGATGGAAAAACAATGTTGCCTGTTAAACAGCATCTGGCATAAAGTCTCTCACAAATGAGTTGTGGTACAGTACAATCCCCATGAAGAAAAATGCAAGTGAACAGAGCCTTTTTAAATAGTTATTGCATGACAAACAAACTAAAACATAATACCCCTTCTCCCAGTTATTGAATTTACATTTTTTTTACATTTTTGTAATTCAATTTGATAATATCTGCCATAATTACTGCGGATGAAACTGCTTTATTTACTCTGTGGGGCGACTCGGTAACTATGCCAACTGACAGCGAGCGATCTGATTGGTCCGTTGCCAGCAGCAGCAGCAGATTTACATTCTGAGTCAGAATGTAAATCAGAGCTGCAGATCAATGTATCCTCTAATCACCTTTTATTTCCTGTCTCTACACGAGCTCTGAGCCCATTGGCCAGAGCGCGCCCGTCTCTGTGATGCGAGCGAGCGGTGAGCGGCTCCGTGTTGGTGACAAAGTAACTGAATAATGTCACCTATAATTGGTGCAGGGAGAGTTAGATCTGATAATGCTGTATGCAGTCATGTCATCTGAGGTTGGGCATGTCCTGGTTTAGTCCTAATCCAGTGAAGGCCAGGTTTAGTCCTCGTTTAGCATATTGGTGACAGTCTTTGTGTGTTACATGAATTGAGTTAGCAGTGAAAACTTAAACTTATTGATTATTTATGAACAGTTTTGTGGTTGTCATACATGTATTTTTTTTTCAAGGACCTGTATTACACTTTTTCTGATGTTATGTTGTTTTCCCATCAAAAACATACCCAGAGTTGTGTTTTGTTTCATTCACACATGTTTAACACACAAATCCTGCATGTTATGTGGTAATACAGGAAGTCCTCCACTGTGTTTTCAAACTCCACTAGAATCATTTGGTTAATTTCAGACTTCGAACTGAGCATCTCCACTGAACTATAGGTAAATGGTAGCACTTCACTTGAAAAGTACCACTACCACCACAATAAAAACACAGAAATCATATAGAGCAGGTTATTATGAACATTTTAAGACCAAAATGAGGAGCTTGACAGCCACAGTTATAGCAAGAGGGGTGACCATTTTTCAACAGAAAGTGATTGGAAATGGAGTCAGTGGAGCCAGAAGCCCACCCATGCTCACTTCCTATGTTGAGCTCAGCGGCTAATGGGTGAGCTATGTCCATTTACATATACAGCCAGTGCTATTGCTGTGTAGACATGTTTTATTTGTGGTTTAGACCTAGTTTATACCTGGTAGACCTTTACTCTTGATTGAGTCTGTTGTTAAACTGCAGTGTATGACTTGAGTTTTCTCTATTAGTAAAAGCAATAATGCGCTTTTTTGGTAGTTGTCATATTCTGTCTTGTTATAAATACATTTTTGCTGTTATGAAGACCAAATAACATGTCATTTAGATTCAACATGACAGTATTTTACAGTTATTGTTTTTGTTGTGAATGAAGAGTTTTTGCCAGGCCCTGTGTATACTGCACCGCCTGTACACAGCGCAGTGCTTAATGGACACTTTTATTCATTACACTTTATCACCAAAACTTCAGGGGCGGCTTCTGATGGAGTTTGTGATCTAATGTAGTTTGAGTTTTGGCACAGCTTCAGCCCTGTTGTAAAGCTGCATTCATTCATCTCCTCAGCCGTAGTAGAGCCCTAAACACTAGGAAATTAAACTGCTTATAATTTATCCCTCATTATAAAAACATTTTGAAGCATAATCTAGCCAGTGGATCGTCAGTTCAAAACCATCATAAATGTAATCAACCAAACCTATGTGCAATTATACTTTATATAAGTCACTGATGAGGCTAAAAGAGAGATTAAAGGTGCACTGTGGAACTTTTGTGGTTGAGAATCGGCTACACACTCTGAGATTTGAAAGCTTTGTCTGGAATGCTCTACAGGTTTCAAGTTTCAAGTTCTGCAATAAAATATCTATAATTCAATGCCATACTGTGGAGCATTCCAAGTAGTAATCTACATAAAATGATGACGTATATAGTAAAAATAATAAAATGCTTATGTAGTCACATGGTATGCTATATTGCTGAGGAAAATATACACGATAAAAATAGTATTGGAACAAATTTATACCACACTAAACACAAAAACCAAAAAGCAGGATTCTCTTCAAAAAAAGACTTTAAATGTACAATACAGTTAAAACGTAATAGTTAGAAAAATAAATAGCAGAATGAAATACTTTAGTAATTAGGATATATCTAGAATAACCCATAGTTATTATTCAACTCTCTTCAAAAACATCCCCACTAGTACAAAGAAAAATTAGTGTAACTGACTTGCCAGCGTGCAGGGATTATGTGGTTTATGCGACGGTTCTAAGAGGCTTTTTCAAACTGTAGCTTCTTTGCATTTCGCCCAAAGTTTGTTGCGATGGCGGACGAGAATCCACGACCAGGTCACTGCAAAAGAAAGGCCGTTTTTGAGGTCGCTGAAAGAAGAAGAGAAGGGGAAAAGGAGCGAAGCCAAACTGAGGTGATGCTTAGAGATTCCTTCCAGCAATTGCGCAACTGAAGCAGACAAAGGGTCTAAAAACTGATGCATCGTTCGCTAAATTACTTCTAGACAGGTCACTTCAACAGTAATTCTGAATGCGCACTGGCTGTAAACAAGCCTGATTTCTAGAGTAAGGAGGCGGGAGCAGGTGTTTCTGCTGAGGGAGCTGAGGAGGTGGAAGGTGGTGTCACGCATGCACAAGGACGGCCACTGTATTTCTCTTCCCTTAAAAAAATCCTCTATACAGCCTTTAAATATCTATGTCCCATTCCCACCCTGCTCCCTCTGTGCCTTTCATCAGGTATAATTTAGTTGTTAGTTAATGTTGGCACTTCTGCGTTGTTTAAAAAAAAAAAGTGTTCTTAATTCAGCACTAAACTTTTTGAAGTTTTTGCATAGTTTCAAATGTGCTGGTAATTTATTCCATTCTGTTCTAGTTTTGAAGAAAATGCTGATTGGCCTAGAGCTGTTTTTCTTTTTGGTATGCTACACTGGCCACTGTGGGCCTTAGAGTTCTGGTCATCTGTTCAGATGTTAATGTGACAAACCTTTCGAGTGGTGGTGTGTTCTTCTCTCAATAGAAAACACTTCCACTTTGTGATGTCATGTGGTAATACAGGAAATGTGTGATTTTGAACTCCATGCACTTTCACTAGAATCATTTGGATAATTTCAACCCTGGAACTTCCAATCTCTAGTTATCAAAAGGTAGCTGTTAATTTGAAAACTACTACTGCATGACATCACAAAGTGGAACAGAGCATTTTGAGCTTTAGAGATACAGACAGACTAATAATAAAGGGTTACTCAAACATGTGTGAATGAAACAAAACACAACTCCAGGTATGTTTGTGATGAGGTAACAACATTCAAACATGACTACAAGCTCACAAGAGTCAGTTCTAGGTAATATAGGGCCTTTAAAAAGTGTATTTATTCTGGAGTCCTTCCCCCATCTCTGGCATCTCTATCCGTACCCTGGTACATTTTCAAACCTCTATTGATTTTGACTGTCCTCCCTCCTCCAGGCCTCTCGGTGCTGCAGAAAGTCTTAGACACAGCAGCGGAGAAGAACTGGCTGGTGACGTCCGTGAATGTGGAAACCATGACCGACAACTCTTTCCTCAAAGTGTTTCAGGATCTGGACAAGAGGAAGGAGGGTCAGATCATCATCGACTGTGAGACCGACCGCCTCACTGGGATACTCAAGATGGTAAAGAGCTCTCCGCTGTTTGGACAATTTACACACTATTCACTGTGTATTGATGTGGGGGAGATTGAAAGACTCTTGGTTTTGGACTGATAGTTCTGGTTCAGATCTTGAGGCTTGGTTTTAGCCTTGGTTTACGCTAGTCTAGTTTTGGTTTTTGTTGAGTTGAGTTTAGAGCAGATTTTTTAATTGGGCATATCTTATACCTCTTTTGGTACTGCTGATGTAATTATGGCTTTGGTCCTGGTAAAATGATCAATATTAAAAATAGTAATAAATAAAGCATTGGATTTGTGTATCATTAATCACTAATTATTTTCATGACACCCAAAGTACTTTACGACACATTATTTATTGGTATTATTGGTAATATTAGTGATTTGGAATTATCTACTAATGACTTATTAAGCACTGTTCATTTCTTGGTACAGTCAAGTTTTACTTTGTAGTTAGTAGATTATGAATGTTTTTTTTTTTGGGGTTTTTTTTTTATGGTTTTGGTTTAGACCTGTTTTAATGCTGATGTAGTGCTGTTGTTTCAGCTATTACAATTTGTATAGTCCTGATTTAGACTTCATTTAGTCCTTGTTTAGTCCTTGTTTAGACCCAGTTTAGTCCGGGTTTAGACTTGGTTGGGACCTGATTTAGTCTTTGTTATTAGACCTGGTTTAGTCCTAGTTAAATCAATAATAGTAATAATAATGCATTGGCTTTATATAACACATTTTAATACACTCAAAGTGCTTTACAGTACTTTATGTACTTTATTTATTAACTCCATGTATTTACTCCACACATGAGGTAAGATAAGATTGCAGGCATAGCTGCCCTGGGGTAGGCTGATGGAAGCAAGACTGTCAATCAGCGTCATCAACCACACTGTCTATCAACACTCACATACATATATCAAATTTATACATAGGTAACGGGGTGAAGTGTCTTACCTAAGGACACAGCAACACTCTCCACTGTGCAGCTGGTATTGCCAGTGGTCTTTCATCCAATTACTAACCAGGCCCGGGATTATTTAGCTTCCGAGTTCTGATGAGTGACTAGCAGGTGGACTAACTGGGCAGTTTTAGCTGTTCAGACCTGATTTATTTCTGGTTTAGACCTGGTTTAGACCTGGTTAAGATCTGGTTAAGACCTGGTTTAGACCTGGTTTAGACCTGGGTGGTACCGCCTGCCTCAGGGGAGCACTGAAGTAAAGGGCTGTGAACTCTTTGGACACCCGCCGGGCCTGGTGCAATCCTGCTGCAATCATAAGTGCTATTTCATCATTTCCACAGCAGCCAAATAACTGACTCAAAATGTTATGCTTGTTGAGGATTGGTACAAATTGGATTAATACAAAATGGGATTCTGTTTCTTCTCTGTTTAAGATATATTTAATTCATATATACTATATATTATATTTTTCAGATTTTTCTTTTGTTCTCAGCGGTGGATATACGAGGCAGATATTGTTTTACATGTTTTGGAAACATACACACACATACACTCATGTTAGAGAGTTAGAGAGTTTGTGAATTGACGAGTTTGAATAAATACTAACCACTCCAGCTCAGAGATGCTTGTTGTCTAATTTGCTCAGGCTAACTAATGTCTATTGCCTATTTCAGGTAATTTTAGATAGCATCAGTCTTGACAGTCTTAGACAAACTTTATTGATCCACAAGAGACATTTTTTGGACACAGTAGCTCACACTTCACAATAAATGATAACATAGAGCAACAATTATGGTAATAATACATTCAAAATAAGTAGCAAACATAACAAGGGACTGGTGTTAAATAAGGCATAATTATATATGTATAAATGTATATGTACAAATAATAAAAATAAAATATAGAAATATAGTAAAAGAAATATATTTCGGCTATATACAAGATACAAGAGGTGGGTGAAGAGAAACAGTGCAAAGATTAAATAGTGATTGACATAAAGTTATCTGTTACATAAGGATGAGTTAATGTACAGTTGTATAATGTATGGACATGAACACAATTTAAAAATATCACTGCATCACTGCCTTTATAAGAAGAACAAATATTAAACGTGTTTTAGCTGTACAGTGTCGTAATAAAAGAAACTGAACTAATCTTAAGTGACAACCTCGCCGACTGTTTCCCTGTTTCTAAAATTGCATGTGGTAGTTCCTAATTTATTCTACTATTTCATCATATTTATTCACTGCTCAAAACATGTAATTTCAAAGCTGTCTCACATCTTTAATGTTACAAAACAAAGGAGATATGTGAAATACAAAGTGGAAGGAAACAGGGGCTGGCTGCTGCTTTGTTGTTCAGTCTGGAGCATCAAGGACATTAGAGATTAATAACGCAATAATATTGGCATTTGGGGCCTTCAATTATTCTCTGACAGCATCAAAAAATGACCCTGTGTTGTAATGTGGGAGAGACCACTAAATGTACCCACACAATTTACACTTCAGTCACTTGCAATGATCTCCATATGTGCTGTATATATGCATTTGCAAGAGGATTTGTTTAAAATATATTTATATATTTATGATTCACGTCTTTTGTGTTATATTTGTGCTTGTGTAATTGGTAATAGACTTTGTGAAGAGAAATTGCACTGACCAAGGAACAGTTTAGACCTCACTTTTGCCTATAGAGAGATTTTGTTCTGGTTCAGAGCGTATTCAGGCCTGGTTTAGTCCTCATTTAATCCTTTCTAAAAATGAGCCTATAATTAGCCTTGGTAATATTAGTTCTACTATTGACCTATTAAGCACTGTTCATTGCTTGGTGCAGTCAAGTTTTAGTTCTTGGCTATTTTGTTTTTTTGGTTTAGACCTGCTTTAGTCCTGGTTTAGACTTGGTTTAGTCCTGGTTTAGACTTGGTTTAGTCCTGGTTTAGTCCTTGTTTTGACCTGATTTAGTCCTGGTTTAGACTGGGTTTAGCTCTTGTTTAGACCTAATTTAGTCTTGGTTTAGACCTGGTTTAGTCCTTGTGGAGAGTTGGTTTAATCTTTGTTATTAGACCTGGTTTAGTTTTTAGGGAGACTTTATTTCTTTTTTGGCCCATTGTTTTGCTTTGTAACTTTGAATATTATTTAGTTCTCATATGAACATTGTTTAGCTATTCTTGTTTAAACAGAGCTGAGATTTTGTATCATTTTTGTCACTCGTATGATGTATGGAGTCACTGTCTTGTCATAATAGATCTCTAGTGTTTCATAATAAGAAAAACAGCATCTCAGACTCCCAGTGTTCATTCTTTAGTGTTTGGTCTAGTGCAAGGACATTATTGATGGCTTGGTGTCTACAGTTAAGGTTATTGCATCACTTCTCTCCTCTTTTTACACGCCCGGTGCCTAAGAAGTTCTGTGATCGGGAGAGCCCCCAATCCATCACCCCCACACCTGCCATCACCTCCGCCCACAGTGGCCCAAAACAGACCCCTCTGCCCCTCCTACTCCCCCCTCCTCCGCCCATACCATTCATCTTTACAGATCACAGATAATGTCACAGTTCTTAGAATGACTGGTTCATATGTGTTAGGGTGTGTGCCATAGCCATATGAATGGGCATAGCCAACCCACTAGCAGGCGCGTTCCAATAGCAAGTGAGCATGGGTGCGTTTTGGTGCCATTGGCTCTGGCTTCAATTCACTTTCTATTGAAAAATTGCCTCTCTGCTGCTGTTAGACTTCTCATTTTGGTATAAAAATGTTTGTATTAACCCACTCTACACGATTCTACTATTTTTATTTTGTTATTTTATCCCTAAATCAGCATATGAACATTAATAACTATATCAAGCTTGGGACTAAAGTAAACCCAATTCAACCAAGACTTAACAAGGAGTAAACCCAGACGACAACAAATCAAATCTACTTAAACTGGCCCCAAACTAGAACCAAACCACAACAAGTTTGAAGGCACCCAGTTTTATCAAGGTTTAGAAGATTTCTTATGGGAACTTGTGGTTGTGACCTGGGTTTGTGTTGTATTGTTTTGCTCAAACTGGTTGGACCTGGATTAGGCCTGTCTTGGTCAATGTTTATTGTTTTGTGATGTGGGATTAGCCGTGTCCTGGTCCTGATTTAGATTTCTTAACTTGAATTACGACTAGTAAATATGCACTTGTAATTTCAGTTTAAAATGGATAACACTTACTATATGGCATCTCATTCATCTTTAACACCGCAGATGCTTGGTGGATAATGTCACGGAGCGCAGCTGTGTCCCAAGGGTGCTGGCTCATATGCACTGCATGTGGATGGAGTGAATGTAGTTGATGTAGTTGATGTACTAATGCCCCGCGGAGAGCATTTACAGTGACAGAGGAGGAGAGAGAGAGAGAGACAGAAAGGGAGAGAGAGAGAGAAAATGACCTGTTTCTCTGGAGGCTGAACTCCGAGTGACTTCTCAAATCTACATATATAATTAAAAAGCCGCTCGCACCAAACCAAAAGCATTTCCATTTGGCAGGGCTTCTGTTCTCCCTACTGTGAGTGGGAGAAACGCACAATTCCTCGCACATTTTATTGTTTGCCTTATTGTTGTGATTTGTCAATTCAGCGTGGTTCTAGCCTTGGCTTGGTCTTTGTTCAATTTAAGACTTGGTTAAAGGTCCTAAACAAATGTATGAGCTTTAATGTTGTAATGTTGTTACCGCTTCAAAAACTATACCTGGAGTTGTGTTTTGTTTCATTTACATGTTTGAGTAACGCTTTATTCTTAGTCTGTCTACATCTCCAAAGCTCAAAATGCTCTGTTCCACCTTGTGATGACATGTAGTGGTAGTTTTCAAGTTAACAGCTACCTGTTACCTTTTGTTCAATAGAAATTGGCAAATTCAGAAATCATCCAAATGATTCTAATGAAAGTATATGGAGTTTAAAAGCACAGTTTAAGAGAATAACTCAGCCTAAATATGCAGGGTTTGTGTGATAAACATGTGAATGGAACAAAACACAACTCCAGGTATATTTTTGGTAACAGTATTATAACATAGCAGAGTCAATCTTGTGTGACAATGGACCTTTAAGCCTTATTCCTGCTTTGGACATGTTAGTTTGGATTTTAACTAAATGAATATATACTATACTTAAATATGGGTAATTTGTCCATTACAAAAGAATTGACAAAGAAGTAGTGCTACATTATTATGTTTTTACTTTAATTAACTTTTCATTGTGCTCTGTCCCTGTCTCATTAAATAAATAAGTAAATCTTTTCAATTTGTGTCAGTACCAGTTCTAGCATTTGTGTGTTTTCTGTTTGTATGAGTCGGCTCCTCTCTCCTTCTTGTTTCCTTGCCTGGGGCAGGTCTGGGGGCTATGGATTACACTGGGGTCACCATTAATAACAAATGCCACCTTCTGTCATGACCTCCAGCTTCATTAGACAGAGACACAAACAGCCAGTGGATTTGCCCCAGTTTACCCAGGGGGGAAGAAATGGTCCATGAAAATACATCATCTCTGTTTAGTATTTTCTAGTAATAGAGATACTCCATCAAATTTCTAAAAGCTTTCTATCTATTTAAACAACTGATGTAATTGTAACTGTTACTACCACTACTACTACTACTACTACTACTACTACTACTACTACTACTACTACTACTACTACTACCTTAATTACGAATAGCTTACTAAGAATTTCATTACTATTACTTTTACTTCTAAGTGTTTGTATTATTACCACTAATACTACTACTACAGCTACTACTATTTACAGTACTTATAGTAATTCAGTACTTACTACTACTGCTATTTCTACTACTCTATTTTTTCCCAATTTTTTGCTCACATATTACATTATTTTTTACATATTAATACACACGTCTGAAGATCGCTTGCATCTAGCCGCCGAAGCAGGTCAAGATCAATACATGTCACTAATAAAGTTGTCTGCCTATAACGAAATAAGAGATTAATTGCAGTAAATGAGGACAAGATGAATGTTACTTAAGTAATTGTCAATAATACAAAGATATGTAACATTCACTCAGCTAATACATTTGAAGGCCCATTAAGCACATATTGAAATTATATTAAGAATTGTTCCTGTTGCCATATTGATCAGCATGTTAAAGCAAAATATTATATCCTCAATATGTTGCCAATAGAAGGAAGCTGAAACCCATGAATACCAGGTCTATTACTAATTTACAGATGCGTGCATGTATGGGATTTTCCTTTTAAAATGCACTTCTGCAGGAGTTCGTTTTTATCTATTCAAATGCACACATACTGCATATCCAAAAATACAGTTTCCATCTCCAGCACTGCACTCGTTCTTATTTACTTCCACTCTCTTGTATGTTATGGCGACGTGCTTCAAATGCTCTATACACAAAGTTCTATTTTGGGAAAGTCAGCCAGTTGCCAGAAGCTATAGGTGAAGTCTTATTTTCCCATCTAAATGTCAGCTCTTATAAGATGCAGGAGGCTCTAACTCAAAGTTGTGCCAGTTTTTTTTTTGCACATGGAGAGCAGTAATTTTTGGTATCATGAAACAAGCATGTTGCAGAGGTTACCATGGAATCACAACATGGCATTTTAACATGGATAGTTTGGAGTCAGCAGCTCTCCCCCCGCACTGTAAACAGTGTTGGTGAAGAACTGCTTCCCCCTCCTGAGGCGCCGGACTGTTTGCCAGAATCTCTTTGAGGCCATCCAATAGTCCTCCTCCATGGCCTCCCCGAACTCCTCCCAGCTCCGAGTTTTTGCCTCCGCAACCACACGGGCTGCAGCACGCTTGGCCCGCCAGTACCCATCAGCTGCCTCAGGAGTCCCCCGAGCCAGCAAGGCCCGATAGGACTCCTTCTTCAGCTTGACGGCATCCCTTACTTCCGGTGTCCACCACCGGGTTCGGGGATTGCCGCCGCGACAGGCACCACAGACCTTACGCCCACAGCTCCGAGCAGCCACATCGACAATAGAGGCCGAGAATGAAGCCCACTCGGACTCCATATCTCCAGCCTCCCCTGGAATCTGGGAGAAGTCCTCCCGGAGGTGAGAGTTGAAAGTCCCTCTGACAGAGGGCTCCGCCAGACATTCCCAGCAGACCCTCACTACACGCTTGGGCCTGCCAGGTCTTTCCGGCTTCCTCCTCCGCCAGCGAACCCAACTCACAACCAGGTGGTGATCAGTTGACAGCTCAGCCCCTCTCTTCACCCGAGTGTCCAAGACACGCGGCCGGAGGTCAGATGACAGGACTACAAAGTCGATCATCGACCTCCGGCCTAGGGTGTCCTGGTGCCACGTGCACTTATGGACACTCTTGTGCTCGAACATGGTGTTCGTTATGGACAAACTGTGACTAGCACAGAAGTCCAATAACAGAACACCACTCAGGTTCAGATCAGGGAGGCCGTTCCTCCCAATCACCCCTCTCCAAGTGTCACTGTTGTTGCCCACGTGGGCATTGAAGTCCCCCAGGAGAACAACGGAGTCCCCGGTCGGTGCACTGTCTAGTACCCCTCCCAAGGACTCCAAGAAGGCTGGGAGGCCCGTAGGCCGACACCACAGTGAGAGACCTGTCCCCGACCCGAAGGAGCAGGGACGCGACCCTCTCGTTCACTGGAGTGAACTCCAACACACAGCGGCTGAGCTGTGGGGCAACGAGCAGGCCCACACCAGCCCGCCATTGCTCCCCGTGGCCAACGCCAGAGAAATGGAGAGTCCAGCCCCTCTCAAGGAGTTGGGTTCCAGAGCCCAAACTGTGCGTGGAGGTGAGACCGACTATATCTAGTCGGTAAAACCTCCCACACAAGCTCAGGCTCCTTCCCGCCCAGCGAGGTGACATTCCATGTCCCCAAAGCTAGTCTCCATGTCCGGAGATCCGGTCGGCATATTGAGTAGAAATGATCAATTGAACCACATATTTATTAGGGATGCACGATCCTGCTTTTACAGTTCCGACATGGATTATGATACTATGGGTTTAATTATCTGCTGATACCTAATGTCAAACGATATCAGTGCAGTGATCGAAACCAAAATGTACTTCCTTAAAACAAAAATAAAATTAGGCAAAACTGATCCAAATGTGTTTATTTATCACTCAAGTAACAACAGAACAGCTTTCTACATATAGAAATTCAAACACTATGAGACTTTCTGGGCCAGATACGACCATAAATAGTGTTATTACATCCATTTATATGTATAAGCAGGATGCCATCCAAACCGATAAGCCGATATATCTGATCTGTCATTTTTTATTTATTTTTTTTGCATCAGCACCATTATCCAATACCAGTATCAGATTGGTGCATCTCTAATATTTATTGACATTATAGACATTTGCAGGCATTGTTCAAGTGTAACAAAATATTACATGATTAATAGATTCATTTTTTGTCACTACAACTTTGGACTTTGTAAATGTTGATCACTATTGCATGTATGTATTCACTGCACTTTCTGACTTAGGGCTCACGGGTGACTTAATGTCCCATAGTTTAGAAGGACGACAGAGATAGATGAAGGGCACACTTGGCCAACAGATAAAACATCATATCAGAGTTCGGATCTTTTTTTCATTTCATATTCAACGTGCTTTAATTTCTCGCCAAGCTGCTTTGTGTTTGTCCTGAACAAGGTCGAGTCCTCTTCACTGTACTGAAAGCACTATTGGGATCATGTGACATTGCCAAAGCGGTCCCTCTGGTGGCTCTAAGATTTGTAAACAATAATAACACACAAACACATACATACACACACACAGACACACACATATTAAAAGAATGGGATAACCTTCTGTAGCTGTTAGAGATGCTGATTTCTGTCTCCTCTCTGCCCTTGTCTTTCAGATTGTGGATAAAGGAAAAAATGCAAAGAGCTACCACTACATCCTGGCTAACCTGGTAAGACACGCCCACAATTATTCATCTTATTTAATGGTGCACTATGTAACTTTTTGGTTGTTGGTCTATCCTTGCTTGTTTCCATGTCACTTCTTTGCCTGGAATGTTCCACAATATGATATTAAACAGCTCTACCTTGCATTTACGGCTTTATAGCTGGAAAAAAAACAAACAAACAAACAAACAAAACTAGAAAAACAGGCTTTCTGACTCCAAGAAAGGTTGTCTCTCCACAGATCTGATCTGTAACTTTGTCTGGTTTAGTCTCCATGAAGCTAGAGTGGTGGACTCCAGTCAAATGAAGCTCACTGAGGCTGGAGGTTATAAAGGAATTTGGAGCAGAGTTCCTTTATCCACCAGGATCATGCAGAGTGGATTAAAGGGATAGTCCAGAATTTTGGACATAGGACCTCCTTTCCTAGTGAGCCAGAGTGTTGGAGATGTGTGGAAACACTTTTTAAAATATTCCATCCAGTCCTTGCATTTGCAGAGGTCGTTGGTGCTAGGCTAGTGCATGTCAATGGCCATAGTTAGCCTGCCACTAAAAACAGTCTTACCCACTCCACAAAGCACCCGAAGTAAATCTGTTATAACGTCAGACTGTCGATGTGAATGTCTCTGTTGATAAAATAATTTTAGAAGTAAAACCAACCTTGCATTTGAAGGATTTATGTCTGAGCAGCAGCAGTGAGTTGTACTTCCTGATAGAAAGCTTGGCAGCGGCGGACTGATATCACCCAGCACCTCGGAAAACTAAAAATGCACTGGCAAACTAAAATTCCACTGCTGCTGAGAAAATAGTCCCTCAATATGCAACGATTCATGCCATGCAAGGTTAGTTTTACTCCAAACATTAATCAGCACAGACATTTACGTGGACAATCTGGCGTTATCATAGTTTTGCTTTGGGTGTTTTTAGTGGCAGGCTAACTATGCCCAATGACATGCGCTAACCTAGCACCAGCGACCTCTGCAAATACAAGGACTGGATGGAATATTTTAAAAACTGTCTCCACACGTCTCCAGCACTCTGGCTCACTAGGAAATGAGGTCCTTTGTCCAAGATTCTGGACTGTCCCTTTAATACAAACCTTTTAAGACCAAAATGAGGGTCCTGTGACAGTAGTAGGTGATGACTTGTGACCTCAGTTTACCTTGAAAAACATACATTATTAGTGGGAGCTGCGTTACCTCTCCACAGGTCTGCTGTGTAATTTGATATGTAACACTAATAGGTGTGTAATCTTTTTGTCTCCATGGGGATGGATACATTTATTGCCATAGCCAAAGCAATAACATCTCCGTGGAGGCAAGCATTTATAGGATTTCTATAGTGCACCTATAAAAGTTTACACCCAGTATTTTGCCCTGTAAGCATACATTTAAAAAGATCATAGCAAATGTACTGAAGCACCTACTGAAGTATCGGCTTTGCTGTCAGTACTTCTTATGGAAGCCTGAGCTATTTGAAGTTTAATTGACAGTAATAAACCTATTCATGTCCTGTTCCTGAGTTCATACAGAGTTCTCAAAGGGGCATGAGGCAGAGCCAGATCAGACATGAGCCTCAAAGCAGGTTAAATATAGACCCTGAAAGGCCATGAGTGCACAAACTGAGTGGGCTGCAGACAGACATTTGTGAATGAAGTCTATGCAGGGGTTTAAAAGGCCCATATTACATTATTTTCCGATCTAGGTTGTAATGTTGTTTCCTCATCACAAACATTCCTGGAGTTGTGTTTTGTTTCACTCACACATTTTAACACACAAATCCTGCATATTTAGGTCGAGGTCTTCTCTCAGACTAAAAATACTCTGTTCTACCTTGTGATGTCGTGTAGTAATACAGGAAGTGCTCTATTCTGAATCATTTAGAATCATTTAGATCATTTCAGACCTGGAATTGACAATCTCTTCCGAACTGAAGGTAAAAGGTAGTTGTTAACTTGAAAACTACTGCATTTTGCATTTTGAGCTTTGGAGATGTCGAAAGACTAATAATAAAGGCTTACTCAAACATAACAAATATGAAGATATGAGATAGCAGCATTATAGCATGACTTAAAGCTCACAAGAGTTTATAGTCTGTATATATATATATAAAACAAGAGCTGAGGAAACTATGCATTCCAAAAGTATTTCAAAATATTACAGCATTTCTACATTTTATCAATGTTTTATGATGATTCAAAGAACATGGATAGTCTCTGAAGTGTGCTACAGGTACTTACATCATGAGGTGTGTCTAATATTGAGTTATACAGCCTCAAACTAGCACAGAACGATTGTTAAATTCTACGCCAGGCAGTGAAACAAAAGTAAAATTTTACTATAGTGCAAATTCTATCAATTGTTAAAAGGTAGCCAGCTTTAGGAATAAAACGGAAATACATTTTAATAGACTACTCCGTATGTGATGTAGTAGAGCACAGCTGTTACCTGTAGAGCTGTTGAGTTTTCTTTTTACATCTGATCAATAATTCTTGAGCAGATCTCTTTCAGTGTAAACATTGCTCTAAAATGTGAACATAACTTCACTGATTTGCTTTTTTTTTTTTTAAGTTTATATTGCCACCTCACTGAATAACAGATGTTGCATGTTTTATGCATCATTGCATTTTGTGGGAAGCCATTTTGTAAATTTTAGCTGTTCAAAGGCGGCTCAGCTCAGACCTTCTAAACCCACCCAAATGAAGAGAGAATCGACATCAACATTGGCTGTAGTAATAACAGTATTAATATTCAGCTCGTGGCCCCAGCGCTGTCTCTCTGCGGCGTTTTAGATTAGCTCAATCTCTCTTGTCTAGCCAGTTTGCTAGATTTAATTTTGAACGATAAAGCTTTGACGGTAATAACAGCTGATACGCAAAGTGGCTGCAGTCATTCATAATGGGGCTTTAAATGACGTGCCCCAACTTATGACTTTTTCTATTTCCGCTTTCTGCACACCTTTTCATTTAATTTACTTACTTTGTGTTGGAAATTTGATTGTCACTCTCTCTCTCTTTTACTTTCTTTTTCTGTCTCTTCTTCCTTTTCCTTCCTCTATCACTCTGTCGCTCTCTCTGTCATCTCTCTCTCTCTCATCTTTCGCTCTCTTTTGCTCTGTGTATGTGCGTGCGTGCGTGCGTGCGTGTGTGTGTGTAAGCATAGGGCCAGTTTCTATAGTAACCTCTCCAGCTCAGTGCGCTGCATTAGCTCATACATGAAGCAGAAAAAGACACTGGTCTATCTGTGGAGCAAAGGAATATGGACAGCTCCAGCACTGTTACATTACTCTATTAGAGATATGGACAATAGTGGGAATTGGCAATATAGGACTCCAGTTTATCAGTTGGTGGGATATTACAAGGTTCGTACTGTGCAATAGACTCATAGAATGTATCTTGAAGAGCCCATATTACACCCTTATGACCTATGTTATAATGTTTCTTCAACAAAAACATAAATCCTGCATCTTTAGGCAGTTTTTTTTTTTTTTTTTTTTTTTTTTTTTTTTTTTTTTCATCTCAAACTGAAAACACTCAGATCATTTGAATAATTTCAACTCTGGAACTGTCATCCTCTGCTGAATGAAAGGTAAAAGGCAGCCGTTAACATGGCATCACAAGGTGGCACAGAGTATTTTGAGCTCTGGAGATGTAGACAGACTAACAATAAAGGATTACTCAAAAATATGTGATTGAAACAAAATACAAGTCCAGGTATGTTTTTGAGGAGGTAACAACATTATAATATGGATTAAGCTTGTGAGAGACATTTTTGTTTAATATTGGACCTTTAAGATTAACCCATGGAGATTTTAAAGTATTTAAAAGTATTCTGAAACTATAATGCACTAAAGGTATTTACAAGCTGTAACCCTTCAGTTATGTGGTTGTTCCTCTACACTTTCATTTCATTTTTAAGGTTGGATTAATGTATCACTATGGGTGTTTTGCATGTCTTTTATCTGTTAGCTGGAAGGACTGTACCATTTGAGAAACACAATTAGGTTTTCTCTGTGGGAAGGCAAAGTGAACTCACATTTCAAGTCTGTAATGAAAAACAAAAAGACACAGTGGGCTATTGAAAGAAATATTGGATGACTGCCAAAATAAAATACTAAAAGCTATCTAGTATATACAATTGTATACCAACTAGTCCACTTTTCAAGACAAGACAAAAATGTTGTGTCAGTTTCTCTTTGCAGACACATTAAAATAATTACAAACAAACAAAATAAATGCACTGGCATCGATGCACAGAATACATTTGAAGTTTCCAGTTCACTGACTCCATCCAGTGTTGACCGACTGCTAATTATGAATCACTAACCATTTTCTTGTCTTCAGACCACCATGTTTGCTCTACACAGAGGGGCCATGACCTGCTCATCTGCACAACACATCTGCACATATTGTCCAATTAACACCAGCTACTGTGGGCCTCTGTAATTAAAAACCTCTTTATAAATTTGCAATCCTTCAGCGAGTCTCCAGTAGTGTTGCATTGACTGCGTTATTCAAGAGAAAGAAAACTCACATACTCAAATATACTTGCTGGAACCAGTATTGGTTCCGGGATATCGTTTCAAGGTTGGCAAATCAATTAATGCAATAACAGTTTTCTGGCTGTTGTTGAATAATCTATATAAACTTGAATTAGTCAAGGTAAACTGCTTTGACTTTGCTTTGGGCTTGGCTGGTATTGGCGATCGGGGAAGCTGTGTTCACAATTCCACTTTTGAGCTGGAGCAAAACCGTGAACTAAACCAAGACATAATGAGGGTTAAACCAGATCTACATTGCCACTAAACTGGGGCCAAACCAGGACCAAAGCAAGACAAGTGTGAATGTAGCCTAAATGCATGATTTAGTAGTAGTAGTAGTACTCCTCTGCTGGAGGGTTCTAGCCAGGCAGGTGCCACCTAGTGCCTCCGCTCAATTTCATTTTTCTCCAGCAACAAGGTCAGGACTCAAAATACACTAGAAGGTTCACAAAAACCGAGTGCAAGTTCGGACACCAGCCAATCAGCTAAGAGCCATGTATTCAGTGTTGGCAACGATTCCCGAGATCGAGGATTTAAAGCCAGAATAAGAATGTTTGGTGAATTTCATCAAGGGGAAATATGTTATTGCCCTTCTTCTTGTGGGATTTGGGAAAAGCTTAATATACCAGTTAGCCCCATTAGCGGCACATTACAAACATCACGACCAAATAGCAGCGATTGGTTAAATGATAAAAAGTACCCGCCTACTGGTGAGCAAACGAATTCTAACACTGCGAGGTCAGACGGTTTCTACGAAGTAAAACTGGCTGATGAATCAGGCTAGGAGGGTTCGCCAACTACGTGTAGAATGTTGCACAGTATGGAATTAAACTTATTTTTGACATGAAGACAGGCAGATGACATCACCATAGTTATAGGTCAGATCTATGGAGAGGATAACCAGCTCACAGTAAGAATGCATGTTTTTAGAACAATAAAAACACCTGCAACTGAATTGATGGTAAGTAAATTTCATAGGTTTAATGCCATATTGTGGAATATAACTTTAATGCTGTAATGTGGAATATTCAAGGCAAATCTATAGGTTTTCTATGTAGATCATCCACCAGAAAAGTTACGCAGTGCACCTTTACAGTCAAAATAATGGAACTGGAACTTAAAACACAGAATCAGAGTGCGTTAGTTGCGTATCCAATTATTTTTTATCTGTCTTCACTAAAAAGGGCAAAACTGACACAAGGCTAGTTTGTTTAAAAATGCCAAATTGAGGATCTCTTGTCTTTCTCATCAGGCAAACCATGCTTTTTAAATCGGATACAAATCACTGACAAATCGCCCCTGCCTTCCTTCATGCTCTCTTCAGTTTCGACTCCCACTTGTCTGCTGCTGCTGCTGTCACTCCTCCGCCTTTCACCCAAAAACTGTCGTCTTCTCCACCAAGTTCAGAGAAGAAAAAGCACGTGGAAAGATACCATTACAGTGATTCTGTGCCTGGAAGCCTGCCTTGTTCGTAGCAGTCCATACGGTTTTTGATCCTTCCCATTGTTAACAGTAGCCTGCCAGTCTAGTACAGATTAATGTTGGACTTTTTGCTAGCCGTGAAATTAGTTTTTTTTTTTTTTTTTACTTTTTCACTTTAAGTTGTCCCAGAGGAAAGATGGGATGAAGTCTGTACAATGGGATAACCCTTCTAAGCGAGCAGAAAGAATAGACTTTTTCATTATGCAATTAACCCCTTGCTCTGTAGCGCAGTAGGTACAATATAGATAAGTGACTCCTTGGGAATTTCCAGTAGACTTAATAAAAGTAGACTTTGCAAAAACCTCTTTGTTACTGAAAGGAGTTGTAGCCGAGGACAACCTTTGACACAGTTGAAAGGTATAACATTGGAATAGTCTTCTGTTCTATTCTCCCACTGCATGTAGACATATTAATAAAAGAAAAATGTGCCTAACTGTTCTGGCCACCTTCTTGTCTCCATGGAGATGTGGTTGGTTTAGCTGGAATGTTGATATTATGTTTAGCTATCATTTATTTAATTACAGGTGTTTTTATTGTACCTCACCGCAGATCTGACCTGTAACTTGGCTTGGTGTTTAATGCCATTCTGTGGAACATTCAAGGCAAACAACGGCATGGAACCTAACAGGTGGCATGCCCTCTACAAGAAAAGTTACGCAGTGTACCTTTAATGACTGGTTTGATGTACTTGAAGCACTTTTTTATATTAAATGTGGACTTGTGGATGTGGATGGATTTGGATTAAAGTATCAGATCAAAGAGCAGTATATCCTCCATTTTTACTCACCCCTCTAACCTCTGTCCATCTATTGTTTTTGCAGGGCTTTCTGGACATTGACCTGACAGACCTAAGAAAAGGCGGAGCAAACATCACCGGCTTCCAGCTCGTCAACAACTCTGAGCCCGAGGTCAGCCGCGTGGTCCAGCAGTGGATGGAGTTTGACATCAAGGACTCGAAAATGCCCAAAACTGGACTCAAGGTATGTGTGTGTTTCTATAATATATCACAAAAAAACAAAACAAACAAAAAAAAAAACAATATACCACCTCAACTGACTTAATTTTTTTTTTTTTATGGTTTACCCAAATGCTTTATACACTACTTTTAATTACGATTTTAACAATAATACCATCAGCTTGCCTTAATTTGATAGTTATTACATTATACATACATTTTTACATATTTTATTTTGAAATATTTTGAAACAGCTCTTCCAAATGTTCTTAAAGGCACTGTACCTGAGGTTTACTATCTTAAAAATGGATAAACAGAACAGATAAAAGGAATTGCCAGCATGCAAATTATTCTAATGTGTTTATTAAGCTTGAGAGTGCTAGCCTGCTAACTCATCTACTTCCTGGTTCATGGATGATAAAAAAGTTTTACAGTCAGATGCAGGGGAAAAACACATTTTACTTAATATATATAGCCCTATTAATTATGTTATTTCCTAGCCAACTTCACTTGGAAACAGTTGTTGGCTGCTGGTGTAATAGTGGTGAAGGTTTGTGAGAACTGTGAGTGCCAAATTTGTACATCTAAATCTGAACAAGAGCTCCATCAATTTGTTTTTGTAAAGACGTTTGACAAGTTCTTAGTTATTATTTTACAAGGTACTGTGTGTGTGTGTTTTAAATCCCAATAACTCAACAAAACATCCTCTTCTCTTTTTTGAGGAAGTACAAAGGCAAAACTTGATTTACAGTCAAGAACTTCTCAAAGTTGTCCAAGATCATTTTTCCACATGAGATACTCAAAGTAAATCACCCACAAGATGATTTTGTACCCAGAGCATGAGTTCTCAGGGCAAAAAGTTAACATTGAAATGAACCCGATGGTTTTAAGAGCCCGTTTGGAAATTGTTCAAACACGATTGACTTCTTAGAGTGAGGCCAAGTTGAAAGTTGTAACATTAATTCTGTTTTATTATGCTCCTTGTCTTTTGCAGTACACTGGTGCTTTGACATACGATGGAGTGAAGGTTATGGCGACCGCATTTCAAAACTTGAGGAAGCAGAGGATAGACATTTCACGAAGGGGCAACGCTGGAGAGTGTCTGGCCAATCCACCCGCTCCCTGGGGCCAAGGCATTGACATACAAAGGGCCCTACAGCAGGTTGTTACACATTACACACAAACACTAGCGCCCTGCAACCTCACTGTTAGCATCACTACTCACTGTCCAATTTTATCTCTATGAGTTTAGACATGCTCAAATGGACAAATATTTAAAAAGAACAGGGAGCTATGTGTGGGTTTCACTGACAACATGTTAAAAACTACACAAATAAAATTAACAGTTTGCACACAAATAATTCATAGAGATTAAAACATAAATAATCATCATAAAATTAACATTGGTGCGGAATAAAAACCTTTCAGTCATACACACTGCTAAATAGAACCATGTTGAGCCTGGATTTTAACATTGGCCACATTTACACAATTATGAATTAGTTGTTCTGAATTAAATAGTTCGGAATTAAAATATTCTCCTTCGAGTTTACATGCAAATAATAATTCTGAATAGAGATTTACATGGAAAACACGTTAAATCATCTTTATTTAATTCTGCTCAACGTCTGGGGGTTGGGAAGAGCACTGACTGGACAGGGGGCGCACAAACGTATTTACGTCAACCGGAAGAAAACACACACTTCAGCTGCTACTGGCTTTTTTGTCATCTCAGTTTGTCGTTGCACCACGGACACAAACATGATACAAACTTTTTTCACAGTCGTTCCAATGATACTTAAGCAGCAGCTTTAGAATTATATCATCGCGCTTTACGTTTGAAAGCTGAGGAGGAGAAGGGAAGAGTGTCGGAGAAGGGAGGAGGAAGACAAACTGAGTCAACGGCTGCTCTACCTCAGCCCAATTCCGCATCCCGCTCGCAAATCCAAAGAGAAATGGATGAAAGTCTGAAGCAAGGACTGGTGGAGCCGAAACGTCCAGATCGTGTCAGAAGGAATTATTTTTAAAAACAATAAACGTTTACATGATTGAGGAATAAATTAATTTGGCTTTAAAATCAGAATAAACCACTTACTTCGGAAATTAATTTAATTCTGAGTAATCATTTTCATTAGGGATGAAACCGTGTAAGTGTTTACATGGTGTTTTTAGAGTGGAATTAATTTTTATTCAGAATTCAATTATTTTTATTCGGAATTAATGCTCTCATGTAAACATGGCAAGTGTGAAAGTTTAGACAGAGACATGTTTGTGCTCAATGCTAAGGCTAATGCTAATGCCCAATGCTACTGCTAATGCTGATTTTAAGGCATAATAAATATTAAAATAAAACATCACAAACTGAAGTATTCTACATATAAAAACAATAGTTTATTTTATATTTTACAATTTTAATAAAAGTGACTGTTAGCTTTGAGACACAGTGAGCTAGCTAGACTGCTACTGTGCACAGAGCCCATTGTTGAGTGGCACGTTCGCTAACCGCTCCTGAGCTCGGACTGGCTGAACAAATGAGGTCCTATTGTAGCGCGCAAAGTTCACATTAAGTCGTAGCAAGGCGGCGCGCTATCAAATGTGACACAGTGGCTAGTAAACAAACGCTACGGGCAATAACACTCGCTGGTGATGGTCATGAAATATGACACCAGCAATTGAGTTTAGAAATGTAATATTCGGAGACGTAGCACTGGCTGGACTTCTCGTGGGCACACATGGACACAGTCATTCAAACACAAATGGAAACTACATGAGGAATATTTGTGTGCAGAGATACAGACACAATTTATTTAAGTTGCGGTTTTGAGATGAGAGTTGTGTTTGAGTTAATGTATTTTGATCAGAAAGGGTTAATTTAAAAGATTATAGGAGACGGCATAGGCACAGAGGTTGTTGTTAATACTGTACATTTGCTAAAGCTTACTTTGATTTGAAAGCACCAAGATCTGATAGTCTGGTTCATTTAACGTTTTAGAGATAATAAATGCTGCTTTCTTTCTCTTTTAATCTTGATATAATGTTGTTTCTTTGAAGGTCCTATATTACACAACACTGACTCAAGTGAGTTTTTAGCTATGTTATAATGTTTTTACCTCCTCAAAAACATACCTGGACTTGTATGATTTATTCACACACGTCTGAAAAAACCTTTAGTATTAGTTTGGGTAACCCTTTATTATTAGTCTGTTTACATCTCCAAAGCACAGAATGCTCTGTTCTACTTTGTGATGTCATGAAGTAGTAGTTTTCATGCCAACAGCAGCCTTTTACTTTTAGTTCAGTAAAGATAGGTATTTCCAGGGCTGAAATTATCCAAATGATTGTGATAGTGAAGGTATATGGAGTTTAAAAATCCAGTGGAGCACTTTCTGTATTACCACATGACATCACACAGTGGAACAGAGTGTGTGTGTGGGTTAAACATGTGTGAATGAAACATAACATAACTCTAGGTATGTTTGTGATGAGGAAACGACATAATAACATTGATCAGAAAACAGCGTAATGAAAACAGTCCTTTGTTACACTGAATGTAGTTGTAGCCAAGAAAAAACTTTGACCTGGTGAAAAGGTGTAACATTCTCTGCTACTTTCTCACACTGCATGTAGACATATTAATATAAGAACAATATTTTTGGTCACCTCCCCATAGATCTGACCTGTAACTTGAGCGGCTCCCATATGGAAAAGGTATAGACAAATCATACACCATTTTAGCATGTTTTATCTGAATCCTAAAAGATTTGTATATGACAGTGAAAACAGTTACAAGATCTTTGGTAAATATGTGCAGCATGAAACATATAAAACTTTGTAACCTGCAAGGGCTGTATATGACACTAATCCCACAAACAATATCCTCACAAGTGTTGGCGAAAAGTAATTTTTACCACAGAATCATAGAAAAACAAGTGAAATGATGATTGTTTCCTTAAACTCGATTGCTGTGTTGTGTGTGTATGAGAGTGAGAAAGAAAAATGTCAGTGTGTGTCTGTTGTGTGTGTGTGTGTGTGTGTGTGTATGTTGGGCAGCATGGGGGTAAACACAGTAATGCAAATATTGAATTACAACCTTAAAAGACATACCACTCTTCCACTCATATCACAGTGAACATACATGTGCAAAAGATTTTTACTCCACAAAATCCTAATTATTACAAAGGTCTATATTGACTTGTAATATTCAAAAAAGCTGCTATACACTTGTTTTTTTCACATGCCTCAACTAACAAGAGGTCATATCATTTGAGAACAGCAGCTGGTTAGCTTCATTGGTAAATCGCTGGGCTTTCACATGGGTAATCTGGGTTCAAATCCCTACTCTAACTAGGTATTTTTAACTGCAACATATAATTAAAGAATACAAACATTACATGGAACATACAAAGAAAATTTAGTTTATCATGCACATTACCTGTAAATGTCATGCAAAATGTTCACTTTATCTATACTATTTTTTTATAAAATAGTTGTATGAGAAAAATTCGAAATGGGCCACTTTCAGTAGTAAACCATACATGGCACATATTAACCTTATATAAAGATTTACTGTCAAGACAGTGGTAAATTCTTTTTTTTTTTTTCAATTTTTTTTCCATGTGGGCTGGCACCACCTGCTTGTCTCCATGGACATAGTTCATTTTAATGCCATACTGTGTAGCTTTTGCAGACAAGCAGTGGCATGTCCATGTAACTTATTTAATTATTTAGGCTTCTCCTTTTGCACTCCTTAAAACACTGCATGATGTCATCCAGTGGCAATACAGGGTGCTTCTCTTTGTTTTGTCTTCACTTCAGTGCATAAACTGACTTCTAGGATCGAAGCAATACTTTCAGCATTATTTAAACTGCTCCATTCCCCAGGGATGAATGGATTTTACCATAAAATCTTTATAGGATTTTCAGTGGTGCAGTGCTTTGTAATCTAGTTTGTCTGTTTATGTCATATTAAGTTTATCATTCAGAAAGTTTGATTTCATAAAACTGGTTACAGTCTAATCTTGAGGTAATGTATTTGTAGGCATGTCATCATTATTACTGTCGACTTCAATATATGACACATGTAACAATAATTTTGGGGGGTCAATATTTATCGTGGGGACATTTTCTTTGTAAAAGTGAGAAAGTTTTGGTATTTTTTTGCAATATGATTCGATTTTCAGCTTCTGGTACTTCTGCTTTATGGTTTGGTTTCAATATTATTGTTCATCTACATTAACTTCAGCAGTATATCGTAGTTCAAAATGTTTTATTATTGCAGGCCTTTGAATTTATGTATTTTATGTAAATGAAAAACAAAGGAGTGTCAATAATCATGAATAATTGTAAAATGGTGATATTTTCTTTGTGCAATAATCATAACACTAAAATTTGACATTGTGACAACCAGTATGCAATCCAGTATTTATTGACTTTCCAGTTATTTAGGTCCAACCACATTACGCATAATTGCATATGAGCCTGTGTGTGCGTGTGTGTCTTTGTGTGTACGTGTGTGTATGCTGCCCGTGGCCTTGTCTACACTGGGGCCTGCTCAGAGTCAATCTCACCATCTGCCCGGAGATAGACTGGAGATTGAAGCAGTGTGCGCTCAATTAAGTCCATCACGCGGCCAAGACAAACACACTGCGCTGTACACATCCACCATGGTCTGTCTCTCTCCTCCGCTGGGACCGAGCATTCTCACTAAATAACCACTAAACGCTTTGCTTAACATGCATCTCGTGTAGGAACGCCATGGAAATCCAACTACCAGTGAACACACAAGGAGCAAAGGGGTTCAGATATTACAAGCTTCATGTATTTTTGTAACAGAAGTTATTTACCCAGTGGCCCTTTATTCATTAGGTGATACAACTTTATAATTTCTACAGCAAAAAAGCCTCAGTAAAGCATGAAAACAGCAATTCATACAGAACAAATTGCTTACCAAGAATGATTTAGGCTTTATTAAAGGTGCACTATGTAACTTTTCTTTTCTGGTGGGGGTGGTCTGCTGCCTTCTTGTCTCCACAGTATGGCATTGTAAACCTTTCTTTCCTGCATTTATTTAATTATGAGTGTTTTATTGCTCAAAAATACCTTGAAAAACAGGCATTCATACTGTGAGTGTGGTTGCCTCTCCAGAGATCTGATCAGTAATTTGATGTATTGGTGTCACCAGCTGGTCTCTATAATGAGATAGAGAAGTTTAATGTCATACTGTGGGATAATCCAGGAAAAGTAATACAGTCTCTATGGAAACATGCAGGTGGCGGATCCTCTACTAGAAATGTTACATCGTGCAGCTTTAAGAGAAATAGAGGTGTGGTTATTATAACGTGTGACCTTATTCGACTTGTTTTTCCATGATAGGTCCGCATAGATGGATTGACTGGGCACATTCAGTTCAATGAGAAAGGACGAAGAACCAACTACACAGTCAGCGTCATGGAGCTGGCGCCGTCTGGACCCAAAAAGGTGGGTGTGTCGTTTTGACTAACAAGATCAGTTCAAATGTTCATTTAAAAAGATGTACTTAAAAACACATTGATAACATTACAGGTACTGAAAGGTGAAATGAATGAATGATTAGGGCTGAATGATAAATGAATTAGTTGCTTAAATGAATGTATGTTAGACAACTGGTCATAGTGTTACGTAGTGTTGTCACCATACTAAAATTTCAAACTCTATTTTAATACTAAGTAATCGACACAGTACTGACTCCAATACCTCAGTGATAATAAAAAAAACAACACAGACCATGTATATTAGGGATGGGCATTCGATTAAAATTTTCTTAATCGATCATCGGGAGAATTAACGATCAATTATCGATTAATCATTCAAGTTTTTTATATTAAAATGTATCATCATTATTATTACTATCTGCACTACTAATCTGCATAAATAAATTCAACTTTAGGACATATAAACCATAACCACTCTAGAGCCACATCAGCCCGTTTGAGATTATAATGTGTTTAATGCAGTTTTGCGCAACTCTCACAGAAACGAAACTTAAAACCACATCGCTAATTTGCATAAATTAAGCAAAGAAAAAAAACAGCTCTTGTGCGCTGATGCGACATGACTCAGTGGAATACAGGTTAGTGTGACCATATTTGCATGTGTCAAAAGCAGGACACCGTACGGGGGGTGGGAGGTGCGGACTCGTCATCGACATTGCGCTACTCTCACCTGGCAAAGATTTTTTCCCACTGGACACCGAAACATATGTGCTGCTTTGTACACTGTGCACATGGCCTCCCACTTGTCCCGAACGCAATGGAAAGCGTGGAATTTCTTGTACAAGTCATCGTTAAATACGCATTTGCGCTTCGGCACGTTGCAGACTGACCAACTATTTGTGTCTCGCTCCTTCTGAGTGCAGAGAGCTACATGTACGGACCCCTGTTTGGTCACGCTACTCACAGCAACCTACATTCGGTTTGTCGATTAAAATTAACGTTAACGATGAAATTCTTAATGATCAATTATCGATTAATCGACTAATCCTGCCCATCCCTAGTGTATATGAATGGACATAGCTAACACACTAGCCGCCGTGTTCCAAGTAGGAAGTGCACCAGGAGACTCTGGCTCCAGTTGAGTTACATTGGGATCTTGTCGCCCATCTCTCTGTAACTTCTGTAGTGAGCCTCGTCATTTTGGTCTTAAAATGTTCATATTAACCCATTCTACATGATCCTGAAGTTGTCATTTTTCTATTTTATCCCTAAATCAAGATAGGAACATAAATAACGGACCAGTCAGATGCCTTCATTCCCTGAAGTCGCTCCCGCTAGTGTTGGCAATAGGTTTGATTGACAGCTTGTGTGTTTCACTGCTAAGTCAGCCCCCGTGCCGCTTTTCAGTGAGAAGGGTGGGCACATTTAACGACCTGAATCATGATTGGCTCTTGTGGTTACAATGGTATTGATTTAGACAACAGAATATCATTTTCGACATCATCAATCATAGTACTTTCTTTTATATTACCATGTGGTCTTATATCTGTGTAAACCCTCAGTGGTCCAGGTAGGTTCAAGAGTGGTCCAAGGGCGTATACTAGTCTATGTGCGCATGTACTTGTTCTCATACAGCTCGAGATCATTCTAAAGCTATTCCGGAAAGGTTCATTTCTGTCCTGTGAATGTGACTTTTTTTTTTTACAATCCTAGTGGTATGCATAATCTCTACTTTTATATTATATCAACTAAATTATCTCTCATGCTCTTCTTTTAGGTGGGATACTGGAATGAGGATGAGAAGTACGTCACCACAGCCAGCTCCATTCGAGGCATCAATGACACTTACGGACTGCAGAACCGGACCTACATTGTCACGACAATCCTGGTGAGTTTGTGTGAGAAAAAATATATACTGAGGTTGAAGAAAGAGGGACAATGGGAAGCCGAATGGGGACTAAAGGAGAGAGAAAAGAGAGAAAAAAGCAGGGTAACGGTTTTCATTTTGTGCTTTGATAGAGTTCCTAAGGGTCTAGGCGCAGAGAGCTGTGTGGATATCTGTGATTGTATCTGTCACCTCCTCTTCTCTCTCTAACTACATTTGGCAAACTTTTCCCCTCCACACTCAGAATGACAAAGATTTGATTTTGAAAGTGCCACTGCAATGTTTGCTTCAGAAACTAGGCTTGTGTACAATACTGATTTAGATAGCATCACAGCACAGGCCAATATCATTTAATACAGATGAGGGGCAACTAAAATGAGTGAGATTTCAGGTCTAGTCAATAATTATCAAGTCCAGCATTTATTTCCAACAGTTATTTCATGCCAAAATACAATGTTATTAAATGGGAAATCTGGTTCTTGCCCCCCATCTGAGAATATGACACCATCGCATGTAGAATATGAAAACCTACGCCAGGATCTCTTTCATTTTAAACATATAGGGCACATCATGGGAAAGAAGCAATTGTTTTCTTACATACGCTACCATTCAGTTTGGACACACTTTTTCATATGTTTCTTCTTTATTTCCATGATTATTTACATTGCAGATTCTCATTGAAAGACACATATGGAATGTAATAAACAAAAACAGACTCAAAACAGCTCAAATCTAAATTTACAAATAGCTACCCTTTGCTTTGAACCCCGGTTTTCACTTTTGGCATTGCTTGATGCTGACATGGCACATCTGTAAACTGGGGATTTCCTCAAGAAACTCATTGCGAGAAAGCCAAGGGTTTGTCAATGAGTTATTTTCCTTTTTGTTTCTACATAATTCCATATGTCTTGCATCATATCACATCTGAGGTCTTCTGTATGTGCATAAAATTTAGAAAGTCATACATTTATAGAAAAAAAACACTCAGTGAGAGGGTGTGTCCAAAGTTTTGATTGGTAGTTCATATAAATACATGAACCAGGCTGATTGATCATATGCGCTTTTGCCTTTTGATATTTTACATCATAGGAATAATAGGAATCACTTAAATCTTCATAATAGATTATAATTGTTTGTGTTTTTCTTTATGTGTTAAATTCTACAGTGAGGCATGGTTTGTTTATAAACTGTGCTATAAATAATACAATCCTGTTACTATAAGGGCAGTATATAGACTTGGCAAGCACTCAATTTGAAATACTCCTGGGTACAATAAAAATAAAGTGGTCTTTGGGCTTCCCTATAGTATTGTAAACATTGTATGTAATTTACTTATTAAATCCTTCTTGTCTTGCAATAATAGCTGTGAGAGGTGGGGATAGTGGCTGATTAGGTACGGGAACATAGACGCATGCAATGGAGCTCAACAGTGACCGCCTGCTCAATCAATTTTCCATTGATGTTTCCCATATACTTCTCGAAAAATGTAAATAAGAGTTCAAAGCCATCTCCAAGGCTAAGCAGCTACGTGGTAACTGATATACTTTGCGTTGTTGTTTTTTGGCCCAAAATGGTAGATTAAAATGCAAGATTCTTCAAAATGTTTTTATAACTTTGTTGTTTTGTGGAGTTGCAGAAAGAGGTTTTAAATAAAATTATAGGTCTTGTGGTCATTAGTTACAACATAGCTGATTATTCCCAAGCAAGCTTTCAAACTTTTAATTCTTAATTTTAAAATTTGTTGGAAACTCTGTGAGGAAAAATTACTACGAAATTTAGTGTGTGGTCAATGTTGAGCTCCATATACAGACAACCATTATTGTTCTGAACTGTTTTTGGATTTGGATTTGTGTGTGTGTGTGTGTGTGTGTGTTTTATTTTGCTTATCCATATGGAGACAGATTTGATTAATGCCATATTGTAGAACAGGAAAAAGGAAAAGCAGTACATCTCCATAATGACAAACAGATGGTGTACACTCTATCAGAAAGGTTCCAAAGTGCATCTTTAACTGGTCCACGCTGGTGAGGAAATGTTTCAGTTCATGTGTGTATTAACAATGTGAAATTCCAGCCAAACTTTATTATGAGAAATGGACCACCACTTTGCAATAATACAACTGTTTTTTCAAAGGAGGGTTACAAAGTGCTTCACATAAAAAAACACATAAAAATAATTAAAACACAAAATTAAAGGTGTACTATGTAACTTTTCAGGTAGAGGATTGGCTACCTGTTTGTCTTCATGGAGATGTTATTGTTTTGTCTGGAATGTCCTGGTATGTCACTTAACGTATCCACCTTGCATTTCCCCAGTAACATGGTTATTGAGCTGAACACTTGCATTCTTACTGTGAGCGGGCTCTCCTCTACACAGATCTGACATGTAACTTGGCCCTGTGGTGTCACAAGCTGTCTCCATAGACATAAACTATCTCTAAGGAGAAGCATATGACGGACCCTCCACCAGAAAAGTTGCACAGTACACCTTTAAATAAAAGATACAAGTGTTTAATTGAAAATACTAGCCTTTAAATGTATGCTTTAATTTAGATGACTAGCATCAATTTTATTCAGTGGCACTCTGTACTTTTAGGGGCTAAATATTTATAGAAACTGCCTTCTGTGACTTGAAAAATTGGTAAAAAGCCCTGGCCTATATAAAAGACATAGGTCAAATTGAGTTCACTCATGGGTCACTTTGAAAATAGGGCCTCAAAGCATCACCCCCACCATCTCTTTATCTATCTGGTTATTATTTTGACTCAAATACCACTTTTATACCTGAAGATTCCAGGCCAACGTAAAGGCTAATATAAGTGTATCCATCTCTCATAGGTACAACATGCTCTCAGTGTTTCCTTCATGTTGAAAATTTAATATCAGATAATGCAGCTTTTCAGAAGGCCTGGAGCTTGGCATGGCTTTTTCAAGAGCTTTTTATCTCTTTTATCTCTGGGTCTCACTGCCGCAATGTAATTTTCCTGGACTTCTTTGAGTTACAGCAATATCACGTACTGTGTATGGGAGAGATGTGTTGAAAATAACAGAGGATTTGATGGTGAGTGTGAAGTTCAGAAGGCCAGTCTGTGTATGGGAGAGCATGGCGTGCATCCACTTTGAGGGTTAATGGGTTCAAAGGACTCGACTGGGTGATCCTCTGAAGTAAAATTATCCTCTCACCTGATAAAAGCTGCCGGGAAGCTATTCAGAATAAAAGCAGAAATCGACAGTAACAGCTCTATGGACTCTATGGACTGTGCAGCCATATTGTCATCATGTATTGAAGCTCAGGGCCCAGTGCGACCACAGACTACAATAAGGCCACATGCTGTATACTAGTGAAAGGGAGATACAGGTTTTTGATGTTTTTCTGCATGTTATTTGATACATATTTCACCAGATGCCCTCCACACAGTGTGACTGATGAATGAATGAAGGCAATTTATGTGTCATTGCTTCAAATTCTCTGGTCTAAAATACTAGTTCAAATGAAAAAAAATTTAAATAAATTATAAAAATGTTATTAATAGAATTCCCTTTGGTCACCCACAGTTAGTTTCATTCAAATACTTTTGTAAGGCTGCAGTTTTACAATAGTTGTAAAAGAAAAACTATCTTGACAAGGCTAGGCTAATGTGAATAGAAGTTGCAGTAACAGAAGCAAGTATTATTTTTTAGAATTTCCTTTAGTAGTCCCCAGTTACAAGAATTATAAACTTTGATGTTGATTTCCTTCAAATATATTTGTAATATAACTAATGTATTAACAAAGATATTGAGGACGAATTAAAACAATAAATAATAAAAAAAAAAAAACACAGATTCTAACGTCCATAATTCATTCTGAACCTTGATTTGAACCTGTGGGATGCACCCTCCCAGAAACCTGTACCTAAAATAACTGTATGTGACATATCTCCTCTCAGAGTCCCCTTTTCCTGTGAGATAAATTGGGTTTTCTGTCTGTGAACCTAGAGATAAGGTGTAATCAATTATAAAACTGCCAAATACCTCCCCTTTTTAGATCAATATAGTGCATATATTTGTTAACAAAGGTGCACAGCTGCACTGGAATAAAATGAAGTAAACTTTAAAATAAACTAAAGTAATTGCAAATATTGATACTCTGCAGTGACATCACGCTGGAGGTGTTTTACATGTATCTCTATTGGCAAAATGTTCAGCATTTACCATGGTGACACAATGTACACATCAGTAAACACAGACAAAACTTTTAAGATAAGAAAAAATACAAAATGGATTTAATCAACACATTTCAGGAGTCTGATCAATACGAGTGTTCATGGTCCTGTTTTGGTGATTTTCAACAAAAAGGTGAGAGACTAACTGAAAAACTGTTGGCTAATGGCAGCTAGTTTGTGACTAATTTTCTTTGAGAGGGACTGACTTGTTTAACAGCACAAATCATCTCAACTGTTGTATTTTAGCTAAATGAGATTGTGTTGAAGCAAAAGTCAAATTAAGTCTATCTTGAGTAATTGAACTTCTAACAGAGTAGTGCTTTCAGTTAACTCCACATCCCCAGGGAATTTTGATAAGATCAGCTGAAAGTATCAATAGCTTTTATCAGGTTATAATGTTTTGTCATTACCAAAACAATATCTGGAGTTGGATTTTATTTCATTAGCCCACACCCCTTTCAAAACATCTGCCTTCCTACAGCACAGTCTCGATATGGTTAAGGTGTTAAGTAGTGCAGGGGCTGTCAGTCACTTCAGAGAGGTGGAAACACTGAGATCAAAGAGAAGCGGAGTTGGAGACGTGCTGTTTGCTGTGAAATGTTCTTGTTCTAAATTACACTATAGCATACAGAGACAGATGCACAGATTTGATGTTGTCATATCAGTAAGCAAGCTCATGCATGCATAAAGAAAGAGTTTGACAGAGTAAGACAACAAAAAGGAAGCGACTACACAACTTTAAGGTCCTATATTATGCAAAATTGACTCTTGTGAGCTTTAAGCCATGTTATGAGAAATT